CGCCCCCCCCCCCCCCCCAATCAGCTTTTGAGCTTCTTGCCAGAGAAGCCTGAGGACTCCTTGTGGGGACGAGGTGGGAGGGAGGGCAGTGGAGAATCTTGATACAGCAAAGCTTATTTATGGATTGAGTGCTTTCAGTTTTTATTCTTTACTTCATTCCTTATAGGAAAATAGGCGATCTAATCAAGCCTATTTTTTTCCCTTCAGGCCCTAAATATAATTCAGGTTGGCAGAGGTCTAGGGAGTTCACTTCTATGCTTTTTTAATTCTAAGTTGTTTCTGGCAATCATGTTGACGTAGTCCCACCAAAATTAATCGTGCATGTAAAGGAGGGCTGGAACTGGAATTAGAAGTCTGTGGTCTAAGTGGCAGTTTCAGATGGCAGGCCAAGTAGAGGCCATAAAATGAGTGGTCTCTTCTGAAGAATATTGGAGTGGGATCTCCTGTGCTTTGGGAATCAATGTTGCTAATTACAGTACATGAAGCTTGGACATCTCCTTCCACAAATGGTAAGCTCAGAGCCCTGCTGGGGCTTTAGTAATCTCTCAAACCCTAACGAGGAGAAAGGAGGGGCACCAATGTTGCATCAGTTTTCAGCCCTAGGGTGCGTATAAAGATAGCCCTGGTCCTTGTTTATACATTTTCCTGTGCCTGTATTTAAGCCTTTGAGTATACTTGAGCCTTGTAAAAGTAGAATACCTACTTGGTATGAGTACTGTTTTCTGCTGGCAAAGTATTGCTGTACATTTGGGAACATCAGCTTTGCTTTTCACATGATATATAAAAAAAAGTCCTAAGCTGATCAGAAACATGATCTTTTAGACATTGCAACAAAAAAGTGCTCACTGATGGATTTAATTCTGTTTGCATCTGCTGAATTTCTATGTGATTGTACAAGTAATGGAATTGGTTTTAAAGCTTAAAAGCAGGTAAACTTACAAATAAAATAATTTGCCTTTCTCCAATAACTTTTTAAAATAAAGAAATCTTTAGTAAAAGGCGAAAGATTTATACGAATTGAAGAGAAACCAGAGAATATTAAGCATTAAATATTGAACATTAAGCTAAATATTTATTGCAGTTTAACTTGTAAAACGGTGGTGGTGTAGTAGTAGTAGTAATTAAAAGAATGTTATTTATTCACCTTTCTTTGCATATCAGTAAGCTGTTTTGTCCTGTTAACAAAAATGTTATTTTCAGTTTATGGTATTGACTTCCCTTTAGTGCAAGATTTTGCAAAGGAAGCATCTTTCTACTTACAAGTGGGGAAATAATAGCACTAATGGTCATACACAAAATGGTGTTTAATTTGTGTATCTGGAAGGAGTAAAAGTTCTGCATTATTTGGAATACAATATTTATACTGCACATAAATACTTGAATCTAATATTTAAGAGAGTTCTGATAATAGCTTATTCTCATGCGTTCAGGTGCTGCTAAATCCAGTCCGGCTTCTAAACCAGGGTCCACACCTTCTCGTCCATCGTCAGCAAAAAAAGCCACGCCAAGCAGCTCAGCATCCAAATCAGATAAAGATTTGGAAACACAAGTCATACAACTCAGTGAACAGGTAATTTTGCTTCAACCAGAAAATGAGTTATCCAGAAGCACTAGGAAAAATAATGAAAATTCATGAAACCAAAGATTACTCTATACTGATAGTAAAACTGAGACATGGTAAAATTCTGAACTGAAAAATGAATTTACAATTTCAATCTGGATTATAGTCACTTCACACTGGTGAAGGATCTAATAAATGGAGTAGCTCAGCTAAGAACAAAAAAGTGATGTCATTAAAAAAATGCTCCTCTAGTAGATGGTTATAGGTGCCTAAAGGTGGGCATTGAAGTGGACGTTCAGGAGCCTAAGGAGGCCTACCTTTAAAAGTGCCCAGAGTACTTCAGTGGGAACTGGTGGATGCTTAACACCTTTAAAACCTTGGGCTGCATTTAGAAACTTACATTTTCATATTTATTATGTTTAAGTTGCTGCTATATCTACCATGGACACCTTTTTAACAAGTAAAAATGTGTAAGAATCCTGAAGGCTTTATACAAATGACTTGCACTGAAGGGTTTGATGATGATTTAAGTGGAGCATGCAGTAGTTATTGAGAAGTTGACAAGTTTGCATTAAATCTTTCTTTTTAAAGAGGTCACTTTTTTCTGTAGTGACTATTAAGCTTAAGGGGCCTATAGGCTGGACCACTCTAGTCTGGCACCCTCAGGACCTGATCAGTGCCAAATCAGAGAATTTGCTGAACAATGGGAGGTCAGTATTATCTAGAAGCATTACCAACACTTCAACTGCTTACTGGGCTCTTAAAAGACATTTTGGGGTAAATTGGAGCTAAATAACAGCATAGAACACTGAGAGCCAGGACTGGTGGCTGTAAATAAGCTTTATGGGACTGTGGGGAAATAAGTGGACATCCAGCTAACTGAAATTATGCCAGAACACAGATGTTGCCGAACCAGAGGGTGCTGGCTTAGAGACATTCCACCTGTAGTGCACCCTGCATGCATAGTGCTCAGCTATAAGTCAGAGAAATCTCACCTAAAGGTTGTGGAGCCAGCTTCATACTACCCATAGTCTCAGTGCTGCATGTCTAGAAGAGGCAAGGAGAAGCTTCCATAAACTATAGTAACAGCCTCCCACACCCAACAAGTCTTTCACCGACAGACATCCCCGTCTCATCATTTTGTTGGTTCACAAGCAACAAAATGGCCAGAAAATCATTCCATGCCTGGAATACCACAGTCCGTTGTATCCCCAAATATTTGGGGAATTGGCATGTCATGGGACAATTTTTTCCACCTTTTTACGGGTTGCCAGTCAAAAAGATTGTAAACTATTGCCTTGTTACCTTATGTATATTGGCAAAATTAGAAAATCTCAACTTTTTGAGGCTCTTCAGCCACTTATTGTTTTTTCCACTATAGCTTTATTTAATGAATAACTAGCTTTCTAAGTTTTCATGACAATTTCAGGTTGCCAGGAAAAATTAAACAGGAAGTGTGTCTGAAAATTTTCCAGGTTGTTGTATACTAAACATCTTGGCTGTTGATTTACAGCATGACGATTCAGGACAGTGAAGGTATTTTGGTTGAGCACTCTTATAAATGTTCAGACTATTGATTAGTCACATCAGTAGAAAATCCCATAGAAATAAAAGCCATTAGACCATTGCTGAATGAATTGTGTATTACAAAGGGGCACTGCTGTCTAGGAAAATGAAGCACAGAAATTCACTTGTTATACCCTGCCTTACATGATTGTGATTTAGTCTCCGTACATATAAATGCTGAGTGTTTAGGCACTGTTGAGTAGATGAGCTGAGAAATCAGTTGGAACAAAGGATGCTTTTGCTTGATACCGGCTCTAAAGAACAGAAGAATGGTGAGATTCCACACTGAGAAGAGTTCTTGAATGATGCCTGATATCTGAATGAAGGCCAGAGAAGGGGTCAAAGGTATAGCTAACCATAACAGCATGAAATGAACAAAACTTGCTAGGCTGTAGAGCCATTGATTCAACTCTGTTGTTTGGGGGTATTAACTAGTTGAGGAAATAAACTGGTTTGTGTTACAGTACAGTGGGCTATCAAAAGGAAACATCTTGGTACGCCACTAACTTTCTAGTAAGTGACGTATTATCAGGTTAAGGAAAATGTCATAAAATGTTAATTTGGCCTATTTTCTTTGTAGAGAGAACTTGAATCTGAAAATTTGTTGACTTTGAGCATTGGTTCTCAATCAGAGGTATGCTAGGGATGTGAATGAGTAGTCAAGTAGATGATTAAGTGATAAGCCCTAGGGTTATCAGTTAATCTTCTCAACTACTCACATTTCTCCCCACCTTGCTGCCTCTCAGAGGCAGGAAAGGGGGCAGGCAGGAGCCAATGCTGGGGGGGGCCACTTTAAAAGCCCGTTCTCTTTCTCTCACCCCCCCCCCCCCATTACTAGATCTGTGTTGCCATCTTGCTGCCCTACCCGCCAAACACTGCTGCCTCTATCAAAGGCAGAAGCGTGGAGGGAGGGGGGAGGCTGCCAGGAAGCAGCCTCTGTCTCTGGCAGCCTGAGCTGGCCATGGTAGAGGCTGGTCCAGCAGCAGTTCCTGTCCTCAGGGTTCCAAGCTTCCTGTGGACAGGGGCTGCTGCTGGAGCAGCCTCTATCCGTAGCCAACCCAGGCTGCCACAGTCAGAGGCTGCTTTGCAGCAGCCTGCGCCATCCCTTTCCTCCCCCTAATAACAGCCTCTGTCCATGGGGAGCTCAGACCCCCTGCAGTCAGGGGCTGCTGCCTTTGTATCAGAGGCAGCAGTGTGGGATGATAGGCAGCTGATCCATGAGGGGAACTGTTTTTTAAACTGGCTCTCCTCATGGACCTGCTCCTGCCTGGCACCCCATGCTGCTGCCTCTGTGGCAGGGGGCTCTCCGGGAGTGGGGCTAGATTGCACTGGCTGCTGGCCCTGCCCATGGGACCTTTAGAATAGTTGATTAACCGCTAAGAATTCATGCGGTTAGTTGACTATTCTGTTATCCCTAGGATACACAGAGGTATCCCGGGGGATACATCAACTCAACTAAAAAAATATTTAACTAGTTTTTACAACAGGCAATCTAGAAAAGCACTAGCAAAGTCAGTACAAACTAAAACTTCATACAATTATTTGCACCGCTCCTATATACTATACACTGAGCTATAAGTACAGTATTTACATACCAATCAATATATTTTAATTATATGGTAAAAATCAGAAAATAAGCAGTTTTTCAGTAATAGCATGACACTTTTTTTGTCTCTTTTGTCTGATTTTGGAAGCATTAATTCTTAAGGTTAAACATGAATTTATGCAAGACAAATCAGACTTCTGAAAGGGGTGTAGTAGAGGTAGAGAACCACTGACTTAGAGCAAGAATGGGGAACCTTTTTGGGGTTGGAGGCCCCTGAAGCATAAAAATCAGTTGGGGGCTGAACACAAGTGAAGGCCCCCCTCCAAAAAAAACAAACAAAAAAAAAACCCTCAGAGGTGGTCCCCAACTGAGAAGGAGAAAGACCTTCTCTACATTCCCCTCACACGCCAGACCCATGGGGGGGGAGGTAATGGAACGGGGACTGAAGCACCAGCACAGGCTCCCCAATGCTGGGGGGAGCCCTGAGCTTCGAGGGCCAGATACAGGCAAGCTGAGGACCACATTCACGTTCACGCCTAGGGTTTCCCACCCCAATTTTGATGTTATCTTTATCTTAAATTGGATATGATCGGTGATATCGGTGCATTTGGCAGTGCTACCCTTCATGGCCCTCACCTGTCCTTGAGCTGTTCTGCTGTTGTCTTCCATTACAGGCAGTCCCCGAGTTACATACAAGATAGGGATTGTAGGTTTGTTCTTAAGTTGAATTTGTATGTAAGTCGGAACTGGTACATATTGTACCCCAGGTGTCCCCTAGTCAGCCACTGCTGAAACTGACCAGCGGCTGATTCCAGGAAGCCTGGGGCAGAGCGCCCTTTGGATGCAGGCAAGCACCTGAGATTTTGTTCTCTCTGCCCTGCTGCTCTCTCCATAAGGTGACGTGCATAAGCACCCATAGAAGGAGATGGAAAGCAGGACACCAGCTCTTCTGGCTTGTCAGAACTGCTCTTGCCTTCTTCTAAGAGAGCGTGCTCTGGTAGGGGTCATGGGCTGAGCCACAGAACTGCGCGTGCAGAGCAGAGCTCCAATTCCACCAGAGATACAAAACATGTGACTGCGAGATCCAAGCACGGCTGCAGGAAGAGAGTGGCAACAGTCAGGGACTAGGGGTGTAAGCGAGTATTTGTTTATCCGATAAGCCTAAGCATATTGGACAGTAAAGTCAACTACTCGCTTCCTCCCTCCCTCCCGCCGCCTGCGTTCTCCGCAGCGAGAAAAGCCACTCCGCGTCTCCCTGGTCTGCTGGGGGGTGGGGGGAGGAAGGCACTAGCTCTGCGTCTCCCTGGTCTGCTGGGGGGAAGCGCCCCCCGCGCCGCCAGAGGCAGCGACTGGGGGAGGCACCCCGCACTAGCTGCGCCCCTCCCCCGTTCGTAACTAGGGGTCCGACTTAAGTCGGATTGGCGTAACCCGGGGTCTGCCTGTAATATCCAATAAAACCAATGGAGCAGTAGCATGGGTTAAGTATACAGCAACCAAGGTATTTATTAGTTTTTTTGTTCACATGAAGTTACAGTACTTTTTCTTTCTTTTGCAAGCTCTGTTCTAGTACCTGTTCTTTTTATACAGTCAGGATAAACCATCAGTCAGTGATTAGCAAATGAGTGCAACAGGGAGAGTGGTGAGACAGAGTAACAAACTGTATCTTGGAACTAGATTCTCATGTGCAGGTGTGAGTTGAGAGGTATTTTGAAACTTGAGCAGATGATGGGAGCCACTCCAACAATATGGTAAGTTGTCAAGGACTACGCTCTTCTTTGATTTTAATGGAGGAAGTGTGGGGTATGGGATGGAGGTTGGGCACAGAATGAAACTTTAGGGTAGAGGATTGGGGTGCAAGAAGGAGGTGCAGGATCTGTGGGGGAGTTGTGACCAGTGAGGAGTACAGAGGGGTGCAGAGGGTTTGTATTGTGACCTGGGGCAGGGATTTGGAGGAAATGGGGTGCCAGGGTGTAGGCTTTGGCTGAAAAGTGCTTACCCAAGGCAGCTCCTGGCCTGCAGCCCAGCAGGATATCCAGCAGGCTCCCTGCCTGCCACAGCCCCATGTGCCATTCAGAGTGGCTAGCTGCTTGGGGCCATGTGTGTCCCAGGACAGCACAAACCTTGGAGAAAGGGCTCCATGTACTGTCAGTGCAACAAGCATGGCCTAGTCACTGGTTTCCCGCCCATGGGAGCTGCTAGAATTGTGCTGGGGATGGAGGCAGCATGCAGATCTCTGTCCCCCGTGGGGTGCATGACATGGAGATGCACACGCTTGTCCCAGCAGCGAGTCGCTTTGAGTGGCACATGAGGCATAGCAGGGAGAGAGCCTGCCCTAGCACCATGCTGAGCCATGGGACATTGGCCACCCAGATTGTGGCGGTCAGATCTGAAGGTATGATGAAACATATCCAGCCTGCAGGCTGGATTTTGCCTGCCCCTGCTCGAGCAAGTGGAGCACCTTGATCAACCATCTCAAAGCTGGTATTTCAGAACTACTGCTGCGTTTTACGCCAGCATAAGAGAATTCTGAAATAACACTACCATACCTGTTAAGCAAAGAAAGCTATAAGCAGCTACATATGGTACTTGCACTCAGATGTTTAAAAAAGACATATTAGGTCATCTAATTGTTGTTCTGCCAAAGCACGATTGATAGAAGACTAGCTTTATTTCCGATGACAATATTTAGGATAAACCATGCTTATGACAAATGTACACTAATTCAGACAAAGTAGAAATGCAGTCATGATGAATTGTCATCACAAGTGCTAAGCTGCGCCACTTAGCGCAACCTCAGTGGGAGGCAAGTTTTAAAGTCCTAGATCCTGAGCCACTGTCATTATAGCTTACTATTGCTATGCGTTGCAGCACTGAAACATTCTGCAGAAATGACCCCTTCAGAGTTGGGGTTGAGGTACAGAGATAGGTATTATGAGGAAATCTACACTGTTTTACCCATGTTGTTCTGTAAACGAGGATTTCTGTATTCAGATAGTCTGGCACCTTGAACAACTACTAAATATACTTTTTACAATCCTTTAAACTTAAAGTGTGTTTATTAAGCTTATATTGTTGTATGCACTGTTCTGTACTGTAGACAAAGCCTCACTCTTTCTCAGAGAGAGCATGTGCTGTTCTCATGTCGTTTTAACATATATGTTTTTTATTTATAGGTACATTCATTAAAACTTGCACTTGAAGGTGTGGAGAAGGAAAGGGATTTCTACTTTGGAAAATTAAGGGAGATTGAACTTCTCTGCCAAGAACATGGACAAGAAAATAATGATCTTGTCCAAAGGCTAATGGAAGTTCTTTATGCTTCAGAAGAACATGTAAGTGCAAGATATTATTTGTTCTAGTACACTTTTTAAATAAAACAGACTTAATTTCCTTTGAAAAATGATTATCAGCATATTAGGTGAAGTTTTCTAGGTTGATCAGCATAGACTATTGCAACCTACTCTTTTTAACAAATGTCAGTTTAAACAAACAGTTTGCATCTAAAACCAATCATTTTTTGCTATTGGTAAATGTGCTTAAGGGACTGGTAGTTTTTTAGCATATCAGAGTACATTTTATATGTTCTGATTTTGACGACATTAATCTGAAACAGAAGGGAGACATCATAAGCATTTTGAGGGATTTTCATATATTCATGTTCCTGGCTTTGCTTTGTGTCTGCTGCTTCAATTACGCAGACATTTCGTTGTAATCCTGTGCTTTATGCAATTTGTTTTTCAAGACTATTGTGAGGGGTGAGGGGTGCAATCACCCCCTCTCAGCCCGAGACGGGGGGCCTGCGGACCCTCTCGTCCTCCTTCGGCCCCTTGTTGTACCCTGGGTCCCCACTATGGGGCCCGGGCCCTTGGGTGCGATCATTCCCTCCCGGCTGGAAAGGGGGGGGGTCAGCGAACCCTGAAATAATCACCCATCCCTACGGGGTGGGGCCGGCGCCCCCAGTCTAAATCCTCCCTAGTACGGGGTTCCAATTCGCGCTTTCACTTTAGGTGTGGCTGTTAGGAGCTGGACCCTCCTCTTGCAGAGGGAGGGGAACCCGGTCCCACCCTCTCTCCGGGTCCCAGCCCGGGACCCTAAGCGTCGGGGCTTGCTAGCGCCCCAACACGTTGGACGGGGGGTCACTCCCTCCATAACCCGTCCACCCACGGTCGCCAAAAGTGCCCTGCCCCGGGCTCCTTCCTCCCTTCCCGAGTCCCTTTGGGTCATTGTCCCAACCTCCAAGACCTACCCTGGTTCAGACATTCAGGCTGTAGTCGTCTCAGCGATACCTCGGGGGTCCGCTCCCGCCGCCGGGTCCGTTCCCGACCAGGCCATCCTCTCTAGGGCTGCCGGAGCGGGGTCCAATCCCCGTCAGAGCCGGGGCTGACCGATCGCCAGCTGCGGTGACTGTCTCCGGGAGCCCCCG